ATTTTTATATTTATTTGAAGATTGAATTTACTTGATAGCCATCTTAATATCTGGGGTATGATGATATAGTTATGGGTTCTTATCCATATTCATGACTTAGATGTTTCTGGATGAGCCCTTCTGCTGAACTGCTAACCCACACACTGTATCTTAGACACTGTTGCCACATAAACTCTATAACATGGGAACCTTGTCTTTCATGTTTACTGCTCAATCCAGGTTTCTGAAAATGAAGCTGACACATGAAAGGTATAGTAATTATTTGAATGAACTAAATGTTCCTTTCTTTGAGAAGCCAGTATTGGATATGAAAACTATCTAGGGCTTTTTCCCATTTTAAAAATCAGATTATTGGGGCTGATGCTTTGGCATAGTAAGTTAAGCCTCTGCCTGTGATGCCAGCATCCCATATGGGCGCTAGTTCAAGTCCTGGCTGTGCCACTTTTGATCTGGCTCTCTGCTATGGCCTGGGAAAGCAGTGGAAGATGGCCCATGTAGTTGGGCCCCTGCACCCATGTGGGAGACCTGGAGGAAGCTCCTGGCTCCTAGCTTCGGATTGGTGCAGCTCCTGCCATTGTGGCCATCTGGGGAGTGAACCAGCGGATGGAAGACCTCTTTCTCTGTCTCTCCATCTCTTTGTCTGTAACTCTGCCTCTCAAATCAATAAATAAATCTTTTTAAAAATCAGATTATCTGTTATCCTACTGTTTAGATGTATGAATCCCTTATATACTCAGATATTTACCTCAGTGTTTACAAATTATACCTGTTATATACTTCTTGGTTGCTTTGCCAGTGTTTTCTCCTGTTCTATTGGTTGTCTCTCCATTCTGTTGGTTGTTTTCTTAGTTGTGCAGAAGCATTTTCATATTATGTTTGATATCATCCTACTTGTTGATTTTTGCTTTGGTTTCCTGTGCTTTGGGTAGGTGAGGGGCAAATACTTAACCAGAAAATCCTAGTCTAGGCCAATGCCATGAAGCAAATACTTGTGCTTCCTTCTAGTAGTTTCATAGCGTTCAGTCTTACATATAAGGCTTTAAACCATTTGAGTTGGTTTTTGTATATGGTAAAAGATAGGGGCCTAGTTTAATTCCTCTGCATGTTTGTGATACACCAGATCACTCAAAAAGAGGGACAGAACTGATCATCTCAACAGATGTAGAAAATGCATGTAGACCTGAATGAAAGATCTCTGTGAGTGAGATCCCAGTGGAAAAAATAGGTCATCAAAGAAGGAGGTACCTTTCTGTGAAGGGAGGAGAGAACTTCCACTTTGACTATGACCTTGTCTAAATATGATCAGAGTCGATGAACTCAAAAGGCCTCCATAGCCTTGGCAGCTCATGAAAAGAGCCTAGGGTGATTACTGACGCCATAAACAAGAGTGTCAATTTGTTAAGTCAACAACAGGAGTCACTGTGCACTTACTCCTCATGTAGGATTTCTGTCCTTAATGTGCTGTACATTGTGATTTAATGCTATAACTAGTACTCAAACAGTATTTTTCACTTTGTGTTTCTGTGTGGGTGCAAACTGTTGAAAGCTTTCCTTAATATATGCTAAATTGATCTTCTGTATATGAAGAGAATTGAAAATGAATCTTGATGTGAATGGAAAGGGAGAGGGAGTGGGAGATGGGAGGGTTGCAGATGGGAGGGAAGTTATGGGGGGGAAAAAGCCATTGTAATCCATAAGCTGTACTTTGGAAATTTATATTCATTAAATAAAAGTTTAAAAAAAAGAAAATGCATTTAATAAGATTAAATATCTCTTGATGATAAAAACTCTGAACAAATTAGGTAGAGAAGGAACATATCTCAACTTAATAAAGACCATCTGTATATGTAACCCATTGCTAACATCATACCAAATGGGGGAAAGCTAAAAGCTTATAAGATCTGAAACAAGATAAAGAATGCATCTGTTTTATTCAGCATAATACTGGAAGCTTTAGGAAGATTAGTCAAGAGAAAGAAATAAAAGGGATTCAAATTGGAAAGGACAAACTCAAACTGTCAGTGTTTGCAGATGATGTGGCCCTATATTTATAGGGAAAACCATAAAGACCACCAAAAATCCGTTAGACCTAGTAAACAAATTCAGCAAAGTTGAAGTATATAAAAACCAGCATACAAAAATAGTAGTTTTCTATATACCATGAGTATGTGATCTGAATAATAAATTAAGAAGCTCATCCCATTTACAACATCAAATTCCAATTACAACAACAACAAAATACCTATTAATAAATTCAACTAATGAGGTGAAAATTTCTGCAGTTAAAACTACAAAACATTCTTGAAAGAAATTGAAGAGAACACTAAAATAATGAAAAGATTCCCTGTGTTCATGGATTAAAAAATTGATGTTATCAAAGTATACATACAACCCAAAGCTATTTATGGATTCAATTCAATCCCTGTCAAAATACCAGTACATTCTTCAAAGAACTAGAAAAAAATAAAATCTCCTAAAATTTTTATGAAACCACAAAACATCCTGAGTACCCAAAGCAATCTTAAGCAAAAAGAATGAACGTGGACGCATCACACTACCTGACTTCAAAATATTCTACAAAGTTCTAGGAATCAAAACAGTGTGGTATTGGTATACATACAGATACTTATCAATGAAACAGAAGAGAGATCCCAAAAATAAGTCTAGGCACTTACTGTTGACAGAAGTACTAAGAATGTATGCTGGGGAAAGAGCAATCTCTCTGATTGATAATGGTGGGGAATTTTAATATACACAGCCTATTGTTAACATTCTCTGTGTGGGCACTGTACTAAATATGATTCAAATATAAGTTCCAGTCTTCACTAAGTAAACAGTATGAACAAAATATTACACCTAGTAGATGCTATAATAAAGATATAGAGTGCTGCTTTGGGCAAGTGTAATCATTATACCTTTTTATCACCCAAACAAGAAAGCAGGGATCCATTTAAACTTTTCTCAGAATTGTTGGTGTCTGTAACAGTTCATAAATTTAGAATTCATGAGGAGAAACCCTACATTGTATTGGGGAGATGAACCCTGAATACCTTTGCCCTTTAACATGTTTTTATTAATTCAGCCTTTAGTAGTTTATCCCATTCATTGAAGATTGTTTTAATGCTTGATAATTTCCTCAAATTCTAATAATATTTCAAATAAGATAAACAGATCTGCCTCCTTAATTCATAGGCTGGTGTATTATAGGAAACTTGGGAGTGAGAGGAAAGAACATAAATTACTCAAGCCTGTATACCTCTTATTCCACTGTGTACAGGCCTTTCCAGTCTTTTTCATGCTTATGGTTTTAATAATTTTGTGACCTATTTTCTTTTCTCTCCAAACATTGTATCATGTTTCTTTTTCTTAACAATTTACCTTTTTATCTCATCTATTTCAAAAGAAAGAGACAAAAGTGTAAAATGACTAGACTGCTGTTCTGGTTATTAACTAGTAGATAGTGCCTTGGTTTTAAAACACCCAATTCTAATCTCAAGATGAACTCCTATAAATGAAAATTCCTCTCTACTAGAAAACATGGTATAAATATTCTTAATTGAAATATTAGGGTTGAGGAGGGCATTTGATTCAGTGGTTGGGAAGCCATTTGGGAAGCCTGCATCCCATATCAGAGTGCCTGGGTTGACTCCCGGCTTCTGCTACTAATTACAGCTCCCTGCTAATGCACACATGCAAGGCAGCAGGAAGTGACTGAAATCCTTGGGTCCCTGTCACCCCGTGGGAAACCTGGGGCTGAGTCCTGGGTGATGCCTGGCTGTTGCAGGCATCTGGGGAGTGAATCAATGAATGGGTGCTCTCTCCGCCTGTCTCTGCTCCTCAGAAAAATAAATAAAAATTAGAATTTATTCCACAAATCAAAATGTGGGAATAAAATATTGTAAATATATACAGAGAAAGGAAAATACCATTCGTGAATGTAACGCACAGGAGATACAGTATTTAGTTGTAAGTTATAAATATGTTATAGTGTCCATTTACTTGGTTTTTAATCATCATTTCAATACATACTTTTGGCTTCTTTTTAAAAAATTCCTGAATTAAAAAGATATAAATATCCAGATAGAATTATGATCATAGCCATTACTTGTAATAATTTATTAATAACAATGAAACACAGGTTTGTACCCCATTTCCTCTTATTGATTTTTAAAGTAAATTTTTGGTTGCAGCTTTGTGTTTTAATTTGTTCCTTAAACACATTATCACAGTTAAAATATTTTTACAGCAGCAACATAGTATTCTTTGCTTCCTCTAGAAAATCCTGAGCTTCCTACTGTGTGTTTTTTTTTTCCTGCTATGTTTTATTGATAACTTCCTGGTCTTTCTTTACATAATAAGTAATATTAAAATTGTACATTCTGGGTTGGTGTTGTGGTACAGCAGCTTAAGCCACCACTTGGGAAACTGCCAGCCCTTGTCAGGATGCACGTTCGAATCCTGGTTACTCTGCTTCCAATCCAGCTTCCTGCAAAGATGCCTGGAAAGTCAGCCAAAGATGGCCCAAGTACTTGGACCCCAGCTACGCATGTGGGAGACCAGAATGGAATTCCTGGTTCCTGTATTCAGCCAGGCCCAAACCTGGCTGTTGTGGCCTTTTGGGGAGTGAACCAATGAGTGGAAGATTTTTCTCTCTCTTTCTCCTCTCTCTCTGTTGCTCTGTCATTCAGATAAATAAATCTTAAAAATAAATGCACTTTTTAAAATAGCTATACTTCTAAAATTAAAGGAGAAAAAGTACAAGTGTTTCAACTGGTCACAAAGCTCTTCACGGAGCTTCTCTAGGTCTGTTTTACAACAGTGGAGTGGGATGCCAAGTTGCTAATAAATGAGCATGTGTTACTCTCTTAACTTCTTAAAATTGAACTTACTTGGTCATGAGGAATAGTTTGCTGTTATGCAATGCCTAGAAATGTTTGTTAACTTTACTTATAGAAAATCTTGGATTTTCATTATATTTTTATTTTGTGTTGTCTGACAAGCTGCCAAATGGAGTCACGTACCACACCGGAACTTATCAAGACAGGTTAACAAAACTACAGGATCATCTCCGGCAGCTTTCTATTCTCTTCAGGAAGCTGAGATTGGTCTATGACAAATGCAATGAAAACTGTGGAGGGATGGATCCCATTCCAGTAGAGGTAAGTTTCCATAGTAGAGGGTAGTTGAATGTAAAATGTAAGATATTGTCAAGGTGTTTGTAGTTTTTTCTCCTTCCCTCTTTCTCCTATTTTAGCAGTATTTCCAGATTTTAAATTTTACTAGTTTTATCTTTGACTATTGAAGATGAAAATGTGGATAGAATTATTACTGTATTTTCATGTTAATTTCTCGTAGACTTTGACATCCAGGATGATTGTGATTTTTATTGTTTTGGGGAGGAAAATGTTGTCTAATAAAATTTTTATTATTGCTGTCAACATCTTTAAATCAGCGCAGGATTTTTTTAAGCAGACATTTTAATAATATCGTAAATATTTTTAAAGTATTTTTAGGAAAGTGCTTTACAGATAACAGATTATTTTTCAGCATTATTAATTTAGATTTGCTATCTAGTTCAATGGAATGACTCTATTTAAAAAGAAATTCTCTAGGAGTAGGTTTTCAGCTTAGAGGTTAAGACTCCAGGTAAGATGTCTGTGTCATGTGTGGGAGTGCCTGGGTTGGATACCTGGCTTTGGCCTCTGACTCTAGTTTCTGCCAGTGCAGACCTTGAGAAGCAACAGTGATAGCTCAAGTAATTGGGTTCCCGCCTCCCATATGGGAGACCTGGATTGAGTTCCCATCTTCCATCGGCCCAGTCTCAGCCTTTGTGTACATTTGGGGAGTGAATAAGCAGGTAGAAGTTGTTTCTCTGTTTTTTATCTCTGCCTCTCAAGTAAATAATTTTAAAACTATATATGTGCGTGTATATATATTTTTTTCTCTAAATTTAATTCTAGGCCATAGATAATATTTAGTTAATTACAATATTAAATATGATTACTAAATAAATATTTCTATATATAGTCCTTTCTTATTGTCAAATTGTAGTCCTTTCTTATTGTCAAATTGTATCTCCGTCATCAAAAAGCCTGTAAGAAGCGTAGACGTTGTCTCACTGCACGTGAAGGACATTTTCATGTTATCTTTGCTTCCTTTTTGAGGGCTCAACATGTAAGAGATGGACTGAGAAAGAGTCAACTGAAAAAGATCCTGAAAAGAAATTATCAGAGATGTGGGAGAAAGATCAGATATACAGTCAGCATTGTCAGATGACTGCAGAGAAATCAAGGAAAATAAGGAATGAAAACTGAAATGGTAGCAGCAAGAAGACCTATTGCAGTGCACTGAAAATCAAACAGGAAGTAGGGAGCCGCAGCCAGCAAGAAAATAATGTGTCTTTCAAGAAGCATAGCTAGAAAGCAAGCAATGAAAGTAGTAGATGGGGCCCAGCGCCATGGCTCTCTTGGTTAATCCTCCACCTGCAGTGCCGGCATCCCATATGGGCACCGGGTTCTAGTCCCGGTTGCTCCTCTTCCAGTCCAGCTCTCTGCTGTGGCCCGGGAAGGCAGTGGAGGATAGCCCAGGTGCTTGGGCCCTGCACCCGCATGGGAGACCAGGAAGAAGCACCTGGCTCCTGGCTTTGAATAGGCGCAGCGGCGGCTGTAGTGGCCATTTGGGGAGTGAACCAACGGAAGGAAGACTTTTCTTTCTGTCTCTCTCACTGTCTAACTCTATCTGCCAAATAAAAAAAAAAAAAAAAAAAAAGGAAAAGAAAGTAGTAGGTGGACAGAGGCAGGGAATCAAGGATTTGAAGGGTTTTGCTCCACCTGATGGAAGAGCCAAGAACAGATTTAGATGATAGAAGAAAACTCTAGGAAGAGGCTGAAGTACAGGGAGTAATAATGTGATTAGGAGGACAGAGGAATTGGCACAGGGCTGGAGATTAATCATCTTTAGAGGAAGAACAGCTCAGCCTTAGAAGAAAGGAAAGGAAGAAAGGGTGAAAATAGATGGGGATGAGTCTGTTTTTCCCAAGAACTTGCAGAAGCTTGGCCAGATGACTTAGTTTTACTGATTATTTACCTCTGGCTCATTCCTGCATTGATAATGCTCCTTAAATATGGTAGACACTAATTTCCTCCTGAAATATGTCACATTTACCAGGGGCTTCATCGGATAAACTTCTCACATCCATTCACATTCATATTTAACTCTAATTCTGCTGGGAGTTTCATGCTATAGAAATTCTTTTCTCCTACAAAATAAACATTCCCACAACTAGAAGAAGCTGAGACATCAGGAAATTCCCAGACACTTAAGTTTTAGATGGCAGCTTAATGACATTTATATTATACACATTGAGCAACTTTGTTTCTAGTATAGAAGAAGGAAAGCCCGCCTTCCTTATCTCAGTACACTATCAATCTCTTAGGGGGCAGTAGTCATATCTTATTTGACAATATTTTTGCAACATCTCACGCACTGTTTGGTAATTTGCTGATTGAGTAAGTAGGGTATTATTTAATTATATGTGATGACCAATGTTATATAAAGACTGTTTTGCAAAAGAAGCCTGACAGAGTAATTAATGATGTGTATCAATGATACACTCTAAAGCTGTTATTCCAGGCTATCACCTTAAATGTATTTTTATGCTATTAAATGTGTGAATTGATCTTAATTGGTCCTATATATATATATATATATATACATATATCAGTATAATTGGAAAATGTCAATCATATTTTTAACTTTTAACTTTTCTTCATCATTCCCAGCAACTTATCCCATATGTGGAAGAAGATGGATCAAAGAATGATGATCGAGCTGGGCCCCCTCGATTTGCCACTGAAGAGAGGCGAGAAATTGCTGAAGTGAATAAAGTGAGTTAGTAGTCTGTACATTTTCTCTTTCAGAATTATTGATAAAAATTACGGAGGAGTCAAATTAGCTCAAAGAGCTAATTCAAATTATAGAATTGCAGGCAGTTGTACCTGTGGCATACTTAGCCTGTTTAGCATACAGCCAGGAACTAAAAGGTACACAGAAAGGCTGTCTGAATAGTCAGAAGAGATGGCGAAATTCACCCATAAAGTCCTAGGAGCCCGCCTTGGGAATTAACTCAGTCACCACTCATTTACTTCTTCTTAGTAGAATTCTGACTTCCTAGCTTCTAGTATATTTGGAGCAGCTAATGATAGAAATTTAGGAATAGGAAATGTGAATGTCTAAAAATCCAAATATGAAATTGAGAGAGATCAGGGCATTCTCCATCCCTCCCTCCTCTCCCCCAAAAGCTCCTGACTGGAATGCTTTTATTGCTGAATACTTTCAGAAGTTTAGAAAATAAAGTTCAGATAGTTCTAAGAAATGGAGAAATACGGAAAGTTGTTTGTTCATTCTGTGGAAAAACATGGCCCAAACTTAATGAAAACTAACAGAAATAGCACACTGAATAAACCTGACGCTTGCTCTGAAAAGGTTCAGGTCTCTCTTATAATGCCTGATTCCTGTAATTGAACTCATCAGTGTATTAACAATCTTACTGCAGCCAAAAAGGGTTGTATGAAGTACACGAGGGTAAGTCCATGAGTGTATATGCATATTACACATAAAGCAATTGATTATATTGGGAAAAAACTTCTTGGATGTCTAAAGGACAATTGATAGAATTCAGTTCTACTTGCTGATTCAAAGAGCACTTAAAGCTGTTAGCAAGAGAAGGTTTTTTTTTTTTTTTAATCTTTTTATTTCAGGTAAATAACCAGCATTTTTAAACAGGTAAAATAGGGAAGTGTTTATGAAAAGAAGCATGAAATATGATGCTTTACTCCATCTTGGTTAAGATATTTTAGAAGCTATATGCAGTACAAAAGACAACAAATAAATGTTAGGAAACCAGAATGGTAGTATTCTGTGCAAGCTTGTTATCAATTGCTCATAGAAACTCAACAGATATGAACTCTTCAATTAACACACAGTTATCCTTAGGTGTTTAAATTTAACTGAAAAGTGATCCCTGTTAAATATAAAAGTGAAAATAAGAGAGGGAGAAGATGTACAGGTCAGCACATGCTCAATCGGACTTGCACCTAATGGGAGAGTTAGAAACATGCCAGGGGATTCCAATTCAATCCCATCAAGGTGGCATGTACCAATGCCATCTCACTAGTCCAAGTGATCAGTTTCAGTTCATAATTGATCATAATTATAGGATTAAGAGTCAAAGGGATCACATAAACAAGATTAGTGTCTGCTAATACTAATTGATAGAATTTAAAAGGAGAGAACAATCCAACATGGGAAGTGGGATACACAGCAGACTCAATAGAATAGCAGATGTCCTAAACAGCACTGTGGCCTCAGAATCAGCCGTTAAGGCATTCGGATCTGGCTGAAGAGCCCATGAGAGTATTTCAGGCATGGAAAGCCAAGACCCTATGGCGAAAAAAAAAACCAAAAACAAAAACAAAAAAAAACAAAACCTAAATTAAAGATCTCTGTGAGTGAGATCCTACTGGAAAGAATGTGCCATCAAAGAAGGAGGTACCTTTCTCTGAAGGGAGGAGAGAACTTCCACTTTGACTATGACCTTGTCTAAATATGATCAGAGTCGGAGAACTCAAAAGGCTTCCATAACCTTGGCAGCTCGTGACAAGAGCCTCAGGCGATTACTGGTGCCATAAACAAGAGTGTCAATTTGTTAAATCAACAACAGGAGTCACTGTGCACTTACTCCCCGTGTAGGATCTCTGTCCTTAATGTGTTGTGCTATGTAAATTAATGGCATAACTAGTACTCAAGTAATACTTTATACTTTGTGTTTCTGTGTGGGTGCAATCTGTTGAAATCTTTACTTCGTATATAAAGATTTACTTCTGTATATAAAGAGAATTGAAAATGAATCTTCATGTGAATGGGATGGGAGAGGCAGTGGGAGATGGGATGGTTGCAGGTGGGCGGGAGGTTATGGGGGAAAAAGCTGCTATAATTCAGAAGTTGTACTTTGGAAATTTAAATTTATTAAATAAAAGCTAAAAAAAAGGAACTCAACAGATAAACAATTAGAGTTTGTAATGGAAGATTGACACCATGCTGCTGTAATGTAAACCAATTTGATTTTACAAAGACAACTTCCAAAGATTAATGGAAAATGCATATTATGAAAAAAAGTACATAGATATCAAAAAATTTTTTGCACTGAAAGAAATTTATCTTTTAATCTGTTTTTGCACAAACTTTTGTAGTCCCCTCATAAGTGTCTTCACAATTTCAACAACAAATATGAAGTAGATAGGAATCATATAGTGATGTGTGTGACTAAACTTATAAAGATGCATTAAAAGGATTTTGAATAATTAAAAGAACATACAGAGATCCTAGGTTAGTAATAAAAATACAGATGTCAGTCTTGATTATTTTCTTGTTTTTTAAAAATTTTAATTTATTCATTTTCATCTGTTTGAAAGGCAGAAACAAATCCAAATAAGACCTTTCTTAAAAGCCTGCAAAGATAATAGAATGGATTTTTTTGGGAAAGTACACAAAAATGTCAAGGAAAATTCTGATAAACAGTAATAAAACAGCATTCTTCATTTCAAAAATTAAAGTGTAATATGAATCATTATGAAACTAATTAAACACATAATACAGGTTGCATACCTGTTATCTGAAATCTTTGGGTCCAGAAGTATTTTGGATTTAGTGATACACATATGCATAGTGAGTTATCTTGGGGATGGGACCCAAGTCTTAACACTACATTCATGTATATTCATAAACATACATAGCCTGACATTTTTAGTGCAGCTGCACTTTGACTGCAGTCTGTCACATGAGGTCAGGGTGGAGAATTCCACCCTGAAATCATGTCAATGCTTAAGAGTTTCAGATTTGGGAATATTACGGATTTCAAATTTTTGGATTAGAGATACTTGACCAGAAAGAGCTGTAAAATAATGCAGTAATCTCCCCTGCTCTACAGGACAAAACTTCTAAGATTCCCAGTGGATGCCTGCAACCAGAGAAAGTACTGAACCCTATATGTATTTTTTTTTCCTCTACTGATACATACAACAGTACTTCATTAAGTTAGTAAAAAAGTAAAATTAAAAATCATATTTATTTTGATATAAAAGATTTTTGAAATCCACACATACTTTTTTATAATATTTATCTTCTATGAACTTTGTGTGGACTCCTCATACATTTTATGATAAAGTTTAATTTATGACTTAGGTACAAGAAGAGATTAATAAGGGTTTTGTGGTTTGGTAAGTATGAGAATATTTCAAAAAGTTTATAAAAAGTTTACTTCATCTTTTAATTCCATTTTTCTATGAACTTTTGAAATATGTGTATTTTACTGTACTTGCACCTTTTTACTTTATAGCTTTTCTTTGACATATCCAGGCAGAATCACTATTCTTGTGTTTTGGGGCCAGTGACTAAAATAAGGGTTATTTGAACACTAGCACTGATTTTGTGATAGACTGATAACCTAGATGGTTACAAAGTAACTAACGGGTGGGTAGGATATACAGTGTGATATGCTGGGCAAGGGTAGATTCACATCCTAAGCACAGTGGAGCAGCCTGGCAGATTTAATCCTGCTATTCAGAATTGAGCAGTTTTAAGAATTGTTTATTTATGGAATTTTCCATTTAATATTTTCAACCTCAGTTGATCATGGACAGTTGAAATCATGGAAAGCAACACTATTGGTAAAGAGGTTGGTAGGGGGGAGATGGGGACTACCACAGCCAGAAAAAAAACCTTCCCATTATACATGAGAATTTAATAGGACAAAAGAGGGATTACATATAAAAGTAGTTCTGAAAAATAGAAACTTTTAGAAGCTAGCATTTACATTGTGCTAAATACTAAAATGCACTTAAGAGTTGAAAATAAGGCATGCAAAGCAAAATATAAGAAAATGAAAATAAAAATATGTTTCAAAACTCAGGAGAAAGCAGAAAGATGGATAGATTTTATGAAGTAAACTTTTGTAACCTTTTTTTAAAAAGGTGAAATAAAGATTAATATTTCCACCAAATGTGATAGCAGCAAATGACTATCATAATAAAGATCTTGCAGGAAATTAGTAAGAAATGAGGAAGGGATTGGGAGTCTTTGATATATATTTTAAAAATAAAAACTAATAGTGTAGAGATATGAGACATTTATAAGCGTTATAAGATTCTGTTGATATTTATTCACAATGAATGTGGTGTGCTAATTATTTCTCTAATAAGTATTTTTTATAAAATACAATGAAATGTATATCATTAACTTGGATTTCAGTGTGTCACATGTATAAAATATAAAATGCAGCTTATTCTCTACCATAGATGCTTTTATGATCTTTGGAAAAGGTAAAACTGTGTAAATTCAGAAAGCGATAATTTTCTAAGTATATGTTTGATTTCACCTGAGCTCTTCTTATTTTGAAATAATTTATCTTTGATTTAAAAAAAAAGACCTTCCAACTCTTCAGAACATAATACTTTCGCAGTGTTTAATCAAAACAATCTTATTAGCTATTAACCTAGAGTTTGTGAATTTTAAGTGAAAAATATAATTGATACGGACTTCTTGCAGCTCTGAGGATTTAGCTTAGCTTCTCTCTCGTGGATCCACATATGTAATTTCCATCCCCTCAATCGTTCAGTAAAATTATATCATAATTGGGACTCAATAAATGTACTCACAGTATTATGGCTACACAAATATTGCTTACTGCTAAATCCCATAGTTTACTAGGCTTACCTTTCTCTGAGCAATTTTCCCCAGAGTTATTCTTTAATTTTCTAGAATTTTTGTGTTTTATGCATCTATGGTAATGTTTCAGTACCATTTTCCAGCTTTCTGCAGAGTCGAAGTC